TGTATCAGATTACTCTTTTTTTCCTCTTCTTTCTTCTTCTAGTTGAGCTCTGATCGTCCAGTCATTGAAGCCAGGTCAAGTGCGTATTATCTGCAAATGTGGGTGTTCTTATGCATATGCCCTCTCTTCTTATCAGCTGGATGCTTCACTTTCCACTCTAGTCCTCTGTGGCTATGTCACTGACTCTGGGCCCAGGAGTCTCCAGGTCTTGCCACACTGCTGGCCAAACAGGTCTCCACCCGGGTTCACAGAAGTCTATTGAACATTATCGGGTTTAGCATGCAGCTTCATTGCTGTTTTTCCCTCACTTCCCCTTATCGGTGTCGAACGTGGTCAGCAATCAGAGCGTGTATTCCCATTGAGTCTTAATCTTGGAAGGGGGTTTGCTCTGAGGGAACCCAATTACTTGCCTCAATGTCTCCTGGGCAAGCAACTTGCCTGATCTTGTAGTAATCAGTCGGTCTGCCTATATTTTTTTGTATTTTTCCTGTTGGTCTTTCTTTCAAGAAGTATCTTCTGGTCTTCTAGTGGCTCCAGTCTGGTCTGCTCATGCTTTCAAGTGGAAATTTCCCAACTCTGAAGATTCTGTATGCTACTCAGGAGTCCACTTATAGTGTATGTAATGCAGAGGCTCCTCAGGAAGATTCCTTCACTGGACACGTTGTAGCCCCATTTTAGGCATTCTAATCAGTTATAGGCAGAAAACGGACTTATAAGCTTTCTCTGGTGATATTTCTGGCTATTCTTTTTTCTCCCCCTCCAGTGTCTATTTTATTGTTGTTGTTAAGTGCCATTGAGTCGGGTCCGACCCATAGCGACCCTGTACAGGGTTTCCGAGGGTGCAAATCTTTACGGGAGTAGAAAGCCTCATCTTTCTCCCGCAGAGCGACTGGTAGTTTCGAACCGCTGACCTTAAGGTTCGCAGCCCTATTTTATAGTATAATGCAAAGGAAACCAAGATTCAAAAGACAGCCAAGCATCTTAACATTATTGCTCCCTTTTCCCCATTCCAACAGTGTCTCAATCCCTTTATCCCAGAGCCCTGTTGTTTCAAGGTTGTGCATACATCATTATTTACCTCTGTCCCACTTAGCCCATGCAAACCTGCCTAATTGTTCTTCCATTCCCCTCTCCCTCCTTATATATAATTGTTTTCGTTTGCCAGTTCACATGAGGTCATCTGGAGAAGTTGTTGTTATTAAGTACCGTAGTGTCGCGCGCCCTCGCCGATAAAGGACGCGACAAGCAGGATTCTTCTGACAGTAGTTTATTGTTACAGCTCTTCTTAGGGTTATAGCTCTTTTAGCGGTGGCGGAGGACGACGTTGGGTAAGGGAGTAGCAGGAGAATATATACTCTCAAAGGAAGGCGTG